TCATAGAGAAATAATATGAAGCATAAAATTAAATATGGATTATGAATATGATAAAAAAAAAAGGTGTTTGTATTGTTGTCGTTCTTCCACATACCGGCTTTTTTCAGCACCTCTTCATCACCTGAGGAGAACTCGTCTTCCTCCACCTCATCATCATCATCATCATCTCCAGCAGATACTTTACTGTTATTGTCATTTTCATCCACTTCTTCATCATTATCTTCTTCATCATCATCCTCATCTTCATCCTCATCATCATCTTGCTCTGGTTTAGAGGCGGGAGCTTCTGTTTTCTTGTTTTTTTGAGTTTTCTCCTGCAGAAGCATAAAAGCGAGTTTAAATGATTTAAAAACAAACCAACCTTTAACAAATACTATAACATCTAAAACAATACGCACTTAGCATTACTGAATAGAGACACTTAATATTCAGAAATATTATCGATTTGCACGGACACTATCCGCATACCTCAATTTTGCGCTTTTTCCGCACTTTCTCGATCTTCTCGTCCAGAGTCGTGGCCGCTTTCTGAAAACAAGCGACAGAAGAGATGAAGATCCAACACGAGCCGCACGCATCCGTCCGTCGATGTGAACGTCACTCACCCTCTTCTTCAGCTGAGCCATCACGTCATCCATCGCCCAGTCTCCGCTGTACAGGCCATCCCGCTCGCCAAACTCGAAACCAGCGTTGAAGTCTCCTGTGCGGCCCTTCAGCGCGCGTTTCTCCTTGCTCAACACGATGGGCTGATCCTGAACACACACATGTGATTCCATGTTGCATACCATAGTAATAATAACAGTAAAGTATGCAACTAACCCTCAACCAAACCCTAATCCTATCCTAACTGTATTTTTTTAATAAGCAATTAAGATATTTTCAGAACTGCAAGTAAATGATATGTTATTTTGCTTGGTTGTCTATTCAGAATTGTGATCTATATTTAAAAAGATCGTCAATTTCTCTACAATCATGCAGCCAAGGGTCTTTCAGGAATATCATGGTACATGTTTAACAAATATACCGTGGTGGTATGGCATATAGTTTTATTTTAATACATAACTGAGATACTATTATTATTTTTAATTAGGGGTGTAACAATATATCGCAATACAAAAATGCAAAAATAAATATCTTGGATACTGGATAGTGACAATATGTGTCGTGGATAGTCCCCCCAAAATAGTTTTCAGAGTTTTAGTGCAAGTACTACATTAAACTACTATATATAATGTTGATTATAATTAATAATAATGCAATGTGGGATTATCCGTGGGTCCTGTAATGTCAAATGTCTGATGTTACCAGTAAAAAGTGGCTGGCATTATTTTAAATATATCTAATCAGTGACAGCACAAGCATATTCATCTAAAATAATTCTGTATTTTCAGCTTCAGAATCATGAATATTTTTATTCTGGTGTCACCATTGTCCTTGGATACAAGCAACAAGTAAAAGCCTATTCATTTAAACCCACAATGTAATATCAAATTTAGCATTTTAATCAACAGTACATTTTTTGTTAACCTTTCACCATATGTCTTGGAGTATCGCAATAATATCGTATCATGAGTTTAGGGTGTATCGAATCGTGACATGATGAGGGTATCGTTACTATTTTTAATTCGTTTTAATAAATCGTTTTTATTTCCAGATACAAGTTCCAAGTTAGTTAGTGTATAATATCAGTACATTATGCATTATTAGAAGTACCTAACCCTGAACCAAACCCTAACCATTACTCTATATACTAAGTGCATGCAGTTAATTAGTATTATGCAGTACTTATTTCAGTAAGTACAATGTAATCTTAAAATAAAGTGTAACTTTACTATTTCAGCTTTACTTTGAGTTAATATAGCACATCAAGTTAAAATACATGCAAATGTGAAATGCTTCCTTAACAAGCTTGTGTTTTTTTATGTTTTTTGTTACTATTTGTCAAAAAACACGGTATTGCAATTGTACACCCTCACCCTCAAAACATGATGCACATCACAAAACATGGTATTGACACAGTATTACCATGGTGGTACACCCCCAGATAACGTAGTATTATCATGATGTGCTTCAAAAACATGGCAAATCTCCATTTAAAGTAGAATTATAATGACACAGATCACAAAACACGGTACCACAGTACGTTCCCCAAAACACTGCACAACACTACTATTACCATAATGCACTTCCACAAACATGGCATTATTATGGTAAGTTACAAGCCCACAAAAACATGGATTTTCATAGTTTCTGAAGTGTAAACTGAACTTACATCATCATCGTCCGACGCTGAATCCGGCTCATCTGGCACTTCAACATCATCATCAATAGTTCTGATCAAATCCATATCAGAAAACATGTGTGCTGACTGATAACGACAACAGAGTACTAATAACTATTATTAGCAACTAACTTATATCGTGTCTTATATTCTGTTCTACATAAGAGACCCGGTCAAATATTCTCACAAATCATAAATATATAACTGTGTCTGACACACTAACAGGCTAGCTCTGCATGTTCATAAACACACACGTGTGTCGCCGAACTGAAGCAGCGGAAGTGCGTCATTGTCGCACGGTTCTGCCGGAAGCTAAACGGACACCTACAGGCGCGGAGGACCAGAGTTCTCCCATAATATTAATGTTTGGATGTTTTAATTGATAAGATTTTAGGTAAAATGGAAAGTAAAATTACTAATATAAATACATGACACTACTGACAAAAATCTTTGCATGTTTTCTGGGCGATAAAACAAACTTTTCACCACTAGGGGTCACTTACCTCTTACAATAACAAAGGCGTAGGTTGATGACACAAAATTCCAGTTAAATCATGGAACTTGTCGTCTAATAATGCTTATGAATGAGTGAATAACTTGACACTGATGTTTTTATCATGACTGGTATGAAGCATTGCTCGATTGCCAATGAGAGAGAGATACCAGCGCCACACGCGAGTCTCGCGGATATAACATTGATATAGTTGGTGCTTTTCTGTAACTTTGTTTTTTCCTCATAAATGCGAACACTTACCAGGAACAAGTTTTTCAAAAGATTCATACACTCATAGATTTAGCTATTTATATGTAATACAAATGATTTATGATGATTGCAACCTTGTAGGGTATTTGATTGCTTTTCAATGTTTTCCAGGTAAATAGACCTGTGTTTTATTCTCATTCTGACAAAAGACATTTGTACATTGCATTGCAATAAACACATGATCACTTTGAACATTTTTAATAATTTATTTATTGGAAAAAACTGTTTTAAGCTTCAATCAGTGGTCATATAAATAAATTGCTTCTTTGGTCAAAAATTACCGATATTATCTATCTATCTATCTATCTATCTATCTATCTATCTATCTATCTATCTATCTATCTATCTATCTATCTATCTATCTATCTATCTATCTATCTATCTATCTATCTATCTATCTATCTATCTATCTATCTATCTATCTATCTATCTATCCATCCATCCATCTTTCTTTCTAACTAGTCTATCTTTCTTTCTTTCTAACTACTCAATCTATCTTTCTTTCTAACTAATCTATCTTCTTTCTTTCTAACTAATCTTTCTTTACTTTTTTTGATTGATAAATGAATAAATAAATAAATAAATAAATTTGATACATAAACTACTTAGAGAATGTTTAATGTTCTATTATTTTGTTGTTATTTAAACGTTTATGTTATGTTAGTATTTTTGGGGGTTACTGTTTTGGTGAAGTGTTGAGCCTGTGCTTGGAGTGAGGACCTGCTACAAAATATTCAAGCTATATAATTACAGTAATAAAGCAACCACTATGGTACTACTCTAGTTGAAAGTATTGCTTCTAGACCGTCAACACAAAACACCACATGTGTAAATTAATGTTTTAGTAAGTTTATGTAAATCACAGGAATAAACAAGAAGCATTATAGTTGTTTGAATAATTCATTTTAAATGAAAACCATTCATTGTTAAAGAACACCATTGATTCTAGTTGTACATCGTTGATTTTATGTGTATTTTGATATATATATATATATATATATATATATATATATATACATACAAACAGATTTCCCGACATTTCTTCTCTTTTATTCCATAGCTGGTGTGTGCAGATTATTTATCTTGCATAAAAATTAATTACTCTTGTTAGTAAATGTTTTTTTGATTGCAGTGTTTTTCTGATGCCATTGTTTTCCTTGGATTTTCTTCTCAGTTCCATGCAATTTTAAGCTTTTCTTGGTTCATTCCATGTTTTATAGGCAACCTCTGTCATGCTAATTCAGATTAGCACAGTTGGTTTTAATTTAATCTGATTTATTTTAGTTCAGGACTCCATAGTCCAAGTGTAACTAATCTGAACTTAATCTGTGTTACAAAAAGCCATTTTTTTTCTAGATTAAGGCCTACTCCAGGCTTAATTTAAACCCTGTCCGGGAAACCGCCCCATAAAGTGAAGTTTTACCTTGATATCTATTATAGAAGTGTTTTAAAACGGGAACGAGTTTATATCAGGGTTTTTCTGTCCACGGTTTAATGTATTTTTGTAGTTTTACAAACGCACGTGTTTGTTTAATGTTTCCGCCTGCGCGCCATATTAGAGTGCAGGTTTTCCAGTGTTAATAATTTTCTTCACAATTAATTTCGGTGGATTGAGTTTGTAGATATGTTGTTTAGTATGTTAAATGTGTGTAGCTTTCTTCTGGATGTTAAAATGTATGTTTATAGCCTTATGTGTTACCAGTGTATGATATGAATTGCAGTCTTTTCTCATACATCCTTCAGCTGAGAGGCGTGTGTGTTGATTTTCTGTCCTCTTTCAATAAACTGCAGGTACGTTTAATTGTTTTGAATAAGGAAAAAAAAAAAACACTATACGATCTAAGAAATTGAGACATATTAGCTATAATATTAATGTAAAAATGTGTAACTATTTTATTTTATTTCTTTAATATGTTTTGTGTGAAAGTGAATTTTCATAAATGAGAGACAACATTGTTGTAATACAAAACTTTATTGAATAAAATGATCTCAGAACAGCCTGTGACTAGAGAGAGAGTAAACACTGAAGGCGTGCGTGTTGATTTTCTGTCCTCTTTCAATAAACAGCAGGCGTGGTCCACTGAAGCCAATGGTGTCCTTGAGTTCTTTGTGGTGAGACGAGGTCCGCTACACAATCCTAAAAGAAAGACAATTATTATGATATTACATAATCAACAAAACAAAAAATGGATTTGTGTTAGAACTATTTACAATATTTGTGCAGTTCATATTTCAGTCATCAACCGTTTCATGGATTTAAATTCTAATCATGTAGAGCATGTCTAACAATTTAAACATGTCTGAGAGGTCAGGTGCTCTAGTAGTGAAAATAAGACGCACTGAAAATGCTTGAAAAGAAGAATCATTCAAGTATAAGACTGCAAGAACACTTTGATATATAATGCATGTAAATAAGTGATACCTCAAGGCCATCTGTCAAGCGAATCCCTGCATACACGCTTCCAAAGTCTCCTTCACTGAGCTTCCTGACGACTTCATAGCTCTGGACACCGACGTCTGTTGAAAGAAAAATAAGAAGAGTTGACATGATAACTGATTTGTGCCTGAGTAAAGGTAGATATTGTATAAACCGTATGTTTGTCTTGTGTTATGTCGAAGTCATGACAGTAAACTTACCAATAATCGTCTTATCCTCAGGTGGATCATTTGAACACTTAAACCACTTGTGGACACAGACATTTTCCAATTCAAGCCGCGTCTCTGGGTTTGTTTGCAGGAGAGCGCATAGTAATTCGCAGCATTCTGTGAAGAAAGAGAAGAGCAGTCGTATTATTACCTTAAACTTCACACTCGCTCTCTTTGATTAGCTGAACGATCTAAATATGACTACATTACCCACACGACCATCTGTATTACTTTGTTCTATTTTGTATGATTTAGAATTGTAAGTGTCCTTTGCTGAAATCAAGATCTTACCCTGTGACAAGCCATCTTTGGCCCAGTTGTTGTCATTGAGATCTTCCAAGTCTTCTTGCTTTGGAAATCGTCCATGCAGCAGCGTAAACATGAGTAACCCGAGCGACCAAACTGTTGCTGGTTTCCCGTGATACTCGCCGTTGGTCATATACTCAGGGGGGCAGTGCTCTATTGTGCCTGGAAAAAAAAAAAAAAAAGAGATTTAGCTCAATTTGTAAGTTTGTATTAAAAAAAAACATTTTGACTATGCAAGAAATTATTTGATGCTATTGAGTGACTCCCAATGGTGGATCCCATTACTTGACGCTTTGTAAGACCTTGACTTATTCAAGTCGAACGGCATCTAAGTTTGAGACCCACATTACAGCTCTGAGGAATAATACATACCGGCAAAGATAGTGTATCCCTCATCAGTCAGGATTTCGCCGCAACCAAAGTCAATCAATTTGACATCCAGGGAGTTGGGGTTGATGAGCAGGTTTTCCGGCTTTATGCCACGGTGCAACACTCCCCGTAGGCAGCATATCTGAGCGGCGAGAGTTGCCTGACACATTATAACCTTTGCTATGTTCTCGCCGATGATCCCGTCGTGGCGGTTTAGAAATTTGTCCAAGTCCTCACAGGGTGTAGGATACTCCAGAACCATGATGTATCGTTCTGGCTCTACGACCCAGTCCAGAAGCTGGATGATCTCGGGAATCCTGATGCCTTTCTTGGCACGAATTAGCAGAGCGATCTCCTTTGGAACGAGTTCAGGACAATCCTCCTAAAAAAAAAGACAATTGTTATGATATTGCATGGAGAAAAGATGTAGAACACAACTAAACTACTGACAATTGCAGTTTGTCTATTGGAAAATTGACTGAGAGACACTTACAATGCGCATCCAATGTACACCCATGTTGCCAGCGAATTTCAGCGCCACCTAATCAACAAAACAAAAAATGGATTTGAGTTAGAATTATTTACAATATTTGTGCAGTTCATATTTCAGTCATCAACCGTTTCATGGATTTAAATTCTAATCATGTAGAGCATGTCTAACAATTTAAACATGTCTGAGAGGTCAGGTGCTCTAGTAGCGAACGTAAGACGCACTGAAAATGCTTGAAAAGAAGAATCATTCGAGTATAAGACTGCAAGAACACTTTGATATATAATGCATGTAAAATAAGTGATACCTCAAGGCCATCTGTCAAGCGAATCCCTGCATACACGCTTCCCAAGCCTCCTTCACCGAGATTCCTGACGATTTTATAGCTGTGGACGCCGACGTCTGTTGAAAGAAAAATAAGAAGAGTTGACATGATGTAAATAATATCACAACAAAAGCTTGTCTGTATTGTGTTATGTTAGAGTCAACTTACTAATAATCTCGTTTTCCTCCAATTGCTTCAACTCAGATGTCCGTCCGACACTACAGTCTGATATTGACCAGGCTGGACCTGGATGGAGATCGTCACTAGAGTCTGATGTTGCCCAGGGCGAGGCTGAAACTGAAGAGAGATCATCATTAGAGCCTGTTAGGAGATCATCACTAGAGTCGGAGTCACAACAGTCAGCCATCTCCAAGCCTGGAGCTGATGTGGTGCTGACTGGGACTTGGGGGACATCCACGCTGCAGTCTGCCACATCTCGGACTGGAACTTGAGTGACGTTGGCTCTACAGCAGGCCACATCTCGGGCTGGCACTCGAGGGACATTGGCTCTATAGTAGGCCACATCTTGGACTGGAATGCTATCGTCAGATGTGGCACATACTGTAGCTTGGAGGTCGCCAATACTCCAGACACAGCTCAAAGAGTCGATGGCGTCGGCACCCCATTCCGATGAATCACCGACTAAGGCCTGGAAGGCGGCGTCACTCCACTCATCATCGACTTGGTCAACATGACCAGGTTCCTCAGCAACGATGAGGACTTCAACAGCACTGGTATAGGTGACTTGATGAGAAGTCTGATCTAAAGAGAGAGAAAAGAGAAAATGGTTTTAATGAAATAGTTTTTAAAAAAGATTGCATAACCAAATTCATTACTAGACAGACACTAATATTGCTGCAACTACGCCTGTTGTTACAGTTTTTTTTTATTCGCTTTGGTACTATTTTCACAAGTAAGGTGTACATTTTCAAAACTCTTAGTACAAAAATCCAAACTGATCACACTTGTAACGCAGCTAGTCATTCTTTTTCAAAACCTGATGTAATGCTTTCAGTCAGTTGCACATGTTTTCAGTCCACATAATCATTATTTCAAACACAAGATTATTGTAATATGTAATGAGAACATTTGGTTTAATCACTGAAACACAACAATATGATCTTCTTTCAGTTTAGTACTTTTAACAATCAGTTCATCCAACAGCAAACAACGCAAGATACATGTTTCAAATCGGCCTTAGAAGTGCTGAAATGAATATGCTACAGTACTATAAAAGACAGATTACACAGTTTTACTGTAACATTAGGCAATACACTTACAGTACCCAACATTTACGTACATAATCTATAATTTTCAAATATCCATCATATATGTAGGCCTAATCAAGTGATGGATCAATGAAGACATCCTCTACAATCATTTAGGCAAATTATAGTTTTTATTTTTCAGATAAAATTGTAACATAGGTATACTTTCTATAATGAAATGTAACTACGTAAATAAGAACGAAACATAACATTTAGTGCACACATTACTGTATATAGTGGCCAATTGTGGTTACCACTATGTGAAATCAATTAGCTATAACGAGTATTCATCATGTGTGGTTACATGTAATTTACTTGTAAATATTCATACAAACACACATTTTATTTCTGTAGTTCTCAAAATCCATATACTGTATATTGCTGAAATGAAAATCTATAGGTTTACCAAATGATTAATTGATTAAACATTAAGATCAGTTGGATTAAATAATAGACAAAAGTATTAAACTGAACAAAAAGAGATGCAAATCAAAAGTTTGATGGTAAGAGCTTTACTGTGAAGGAAACAATAATGTAGATGAAACACTTATTTTGTGTTGTGAAAAGGATACTTTGTGATTGTGTGAATTGTACTAACACATGATGAAATGTTTGAAAAAAGTGCACTTTTGATGATCTGTTGTGATATTAGCACTAAGAGTTTTGAAAATGTACACCTTACTTGTGAAAATAGTACCAAAGCGAATAAAAAAAACTAATTATGATGGCATTCAACACAGGTCTAATCCGTGCATTCCGCTTTCTCGGTCAGTAATGTTTTGTTCTCTGTTTAAGTGTCAAATAATTTAGACACCTCATAAAATGCATACGAGATCGGATTGACCTATACACAGTATTACCTCAATTACATCAGAAGTAACTGTAATTTTTACAGTTTTTCTCAGTCGCTTTGGTGCATTTCTCACATCACTATTTACATTTGCACAACAGTTCAACCTCCACAACATTTTGTCATTTTTGCACATGAATCATCAACAAATTGCAAATGCTATCAATTGCGTTCATACAACTCACTGCTGTTTTATAACATTATCATTTGCTTATGTCATGTCAGTCCAAATTAACTATACTTGTGAATGCTGAATAGTCATTCCATATAAAACTAATAGTCCTCATTTGATTGCTTGAGTCATCACATAGAAAAATGTTAAACTAGTTGTCAAAATCCGTCAAGCATTTTTTTTTTATCTTTACAGTAAAAAAAAACCCTTTTTTATCCTAAATTGAACAATTTCTCGCAGGTGAACCTTAGCTTTCACTAATGAGAAGAGATGTGCATGAATGATTTACAGTATATGTATGTTGTTCAGTTCCGATATGTACTGTGATATTGTTTCCAGTTGTGCGCCGATCTACCAAAAGGGAGTTTATGTTTGTTGTAGATAAGGGTGTATTTTTTCTTTTGCACAATGTTTTAAACAAATTAGAATTGCAAAGACTATGCAGTAAAAATGTGAAACATACATATTCAGTGTCTTGTACCTCACTAAATACAGTAATGTGAAAATTTACTGTAGTTTTCAAATGGCTGTGCAAATAGTTTATAGGACTGTCTTGATTATTTTCAGGTAGTGTCACCAAGATCTGACTTTTTTTGCACTGGCAAACACTTACAGAGTAAAATATCATAATGAAAACATGACAAAGACATTTGACTATCTTGTTCATCAACACTGGTGTTAGGACTTTTCATCTTGACGACACTGACACTTTCGATGACATGAATACTTGCTTTTGAGGAATGAGTTATCCATTTTGAGCAAGTGACACTTTTATCAACTAAGTTTTGCAGTTTGTACTAATTGTTTTGAGAACTGCATTAACTGTTGTGCAAATGTAAATAGTGATGTGATAAATGCACCAAAGCGACGGAGAAAAACTGTAACTTACAGATAAATGAAGAGTAAACCCTTACTTTACATTTTAAATGGAAAAGTGATTAAATTACAGTAACTAGTAATTAGTTACACCCAAAACTGTACAGAGGTAATACATTCAAATGTCTGTTTAAAGGCATTCACACATCTGTCATCAAAGGTCTGTAGTTTCCATTATGTGCCAAGTATATTATGTTACTGAATTCTCAAGTAAAAGTTTTTCAATTAATGGTTAAGCATTATTATTGTTAATTAGACTTTAAAAACAGAACTTTAGATATTTTACATATACCAAATGATAACATTGACATGGTCCTCTTAGTTACCTTGACTTGAGGTGGTCTTGATGGTTTTTTCCTTCCTCTTGCGTTTCTGTTTTTTGTGTAAATTGTCTCCATTGTCAGAAACATCTACACATTTAACGCATGAAAATTTTAATCCCATTTTCAAATGCTAAATAACTACAATGCAATAAATGCTAGTAGAAAATTGTCAGCAAAGAAATGAGGAGAATATGTGAAAATGTGCTTCACAGTAGGCTACTGACCAGTAGGCTACTGTGACGTCACGTTATAGAACACATTCCAATCTAGCTTGACGTCATTGGAATTCTCTAGGCAGACTCAGCGTCACGTGGCCATCGTCACTCTGTGGGCGGGGCTTCTGCGGAAGTGAAAATTTGTTGTGGATTATGTTTGATAAACTCTTTTTAATAATGTCTAGCCTAAGAGACGGAAACACATATTGTATAGCAGCTGCACGATTAATAATTAAAACATCGCGATCTCGATTCAAACAAACACACAATCTTACTTTAACTACTTAAACATTTGTCATACAGGGATGTAATGGAGGCTAAAAACGCACGTAAACGCCGTTTACGCACCACCCAATATTCGTTAATAGGGTTTTACCCACCTCTCAATTGCGTTTATCCTCTCAATATCCTGTAGTTCCTATGACATTTTAAATTATGCTTATATCGTTTTAATTTCATATTGTTCATTAGTTTAAGACGAACTCTTTCATATTGCGCTGCATTACTGTGTGTTGTTGACTATTACGGTTGCCTGGTTGCAGTGTTGACGCTCGCGCAGCAGAAATCTACACAATGAGCGCAGCGCACACACACACACACACACACACACACACACACACACACACACACACACACACACACACATATAACTTCTACTCAGTTAACAACATAGGCCAGCTGCCTATAAAAATCTAAATGTGGAGTTTTTATATTTTTAACATATGTTAAGCAACCTCAATTATTTTTCCTGAACACCATCACGATTGAAAATGTGGCAATGATTTACAACAGTTCAATAAACAGTTCAAATTAAATCACTTACATTTTAGATGCAATATTGGCTTTCTGTTTCAGCAGCGGAAAAATAGTTCCAAACAAAAATCACAGCAGATCCACGGCGCATGTCACAGGAACACTCAACCTGTTTTCATTACTGAATTCACCATTTTGAACGAATCGAGTCAAAGATTCAATGATCCATTCATAAACATGTCTCATTCTTGAACGAATCAGCCGTTTGAATGAATGATTAAATGACTCACTCATTAAGACGGTCGCCTGCCACCACTTACTGGTGGTTTAGTGTTATGTTTAAAAGTAGTATCATTCTTTCCAACGTTTCTTATATGTAAATTTAAATCAATTTCATAACATCATTTTATGCAATTGTAATTTTTCAGTGTAAATGATTTCATTTGATCAACCCCTATGGTAACAGCCCTATAGGCTAGTGTCTTATTATTCGAAATAATTGAATTTATTGATCAAATTTAGGAATTTAAAATGAAAGATGAAGCAGACATTTAATAATATTGGGGGAGGGGATGACCTTTAAAGGTGCAGATATTACTATATTTAAATATCAAAGCTGATTGAACACTAAAGAGAAAATTGTTTCAGAATAAATTGACACAAAAATTAAAAATCCGGACGAGCAACTTTTTCATTTTATGCATGTAGCGCACATTTATTTATACATTATGTTTTATATTAAGTTTATAATTGGGATTTAGATTCATTTTTATTATCCATTTTAAAACTGTGATTTATTTAAAAACAAATAAATAAATATATTTATGTAAATATATTTAGATTAAAGTTTAGTGATTTACTACACCCTCAAATTGTTGCAAAGAAACCTGTATAAATCTATTCGTTCAGCTGAACACAAAGGAAGAATGCATCCGGGCAGATCTCACCGGCCATTACTTCAAATGTATTTTTCCTGCTATGGTAGTTTATGCCTGGATACATAAATTCTTCTAAATGTCTTCATGTACCATATAAAGAAAAGTATGGAGGTTTGGAACAACTTGAAGGCGAGTAAATGACAGATTTTTATTTTTTGGGTAAACTACCCCTTTAAGAAACCACCTCTGCCAACAACGCCGTGTGAAATGGGAACTTTAAATCTATATATATATATGGTTAGCTGAGACTATAGATGATTGTAGATCTAAAATAAACATCTCTGAACACAAAATATGATTTACAATAGTTTACTTTCAGGAAAATCATTTTGATGTGGTTGCAAGTGCCAGACCTTATATTACAACCTGACAGAATACATGCAGTATATTTATTTATATATATTATGCAGTATATAGGATATATGACCGGCTCAGTTTAAATGAACTCATTGAATGCTGTAATTAGTCTTTTCTGGAAAACACTAATGCAAATGATCTTAACCCATTATTTACAAAAAGAAAAGCAGAAAAAATGTGTAACAATAGTTTTCTACTTTAACAGTTCTTGATTACGCATCACTAAACTCTAAATATTAACTATATGCATTAACCAAATGTAATTGCATACTGTATATTCTATACTGCATTATTCATTTCTATAATGCATGTTTTTTAGGCCATTTATTAGTTGCATCAAGCAGTAAAAAATAAGAGAAACACAAGTCATATTAAAACATAACTGTCAAACTGACACTTTATTATTAAAAAAAAGAAACAATACAAAAATCAAACTATACAAGAACTTGCAGATAAACTTTCCTGTACAAGGAAAAGACGGATCTGAAACACATTGGCCCAGAGGTTTATGGTCTGGGAGGACGCATGCCTGGAGGAGGAGGACCTGGAGGAAGAGCAAGAACACAACATTTAACAATGAGTGGTTGCACCATGTTAAGATATTATTGTTAAAGTGCAACTACATGTACTTCATGATTAGGATTTTGAGGGTTAGTTGCATGTAATTATACATACTTTACAGTACATATGCAACAAGGACACTGTTAAATAAAGTGTTGCCCAATGAGCAAAACATTTTACAGAATTTATTCATTTTAGTTAATAAAACAAATTGCTGTTCATGAAAACCTTTGATTTTAATAACATCAGTAAAGCTGAAACTATTATTAACTGAGATTAATAAATGCTGTAGAAGTATAATTCACTCTTGGATCATGTTAACTAAGGTAGTTAACCAACAAACCTTATTGTGAAGTTACCAAATAGATCAGAATGCATGTTTGATTTCTGAAGAAAATTGAAAATATATCCAATAAAGTGAAAATCAAATCATGCATTTCATTCAGATTCAGTAAACAGGCTTTACCTCTCATTCCAGGCGGCGGCGGCCTCATGCCAGGAGGCGGCATTCCCATCGGAGCGCCGCGGCCGGGTGGCATTCCCATCGGGGGTCCCATGGGCGGCCTCATGCCTGGAGGAGGCCCCATCATCCCTGTGGAGGAGGCACAAGCACAAGTGTGAGCGTTAACCATCACACGACTGGAGGAGAGTAGTTAAACACCCATGTGATTCTGAGCTCAGTGTAATCCTGCTTCACATCAGCGGACACGTCATCGGCCTCAGAGAACATTTCTGTCATCACAGCTGGCGAATCAGCACGGCCATCAGAAAGACACACCGTAACTGAGAAACACGGAGACGTTCTCACCTGGAGGAGCGCCTCGGCCCATCGGCGGAGGGGGTCCGGCCCGGCCGGGAGGGTACTGAGTGGGAGCGCCGGCTATACTGGCACCAGCAGCGGCCGCCGCGACCGTGCCTCGGCCCTGAGGGGTCATGACCTGACACACACAAAGACGCAGTGTTATCAAGAGAGGGACAGATGGGTTTCCATGCCACAAAATACAGCAAAACCAATCAAATAAAAGGAAAAATTATGCAATAAAATAAACAAATGTAGCAGAGAAAGTGTGAAGGCGCAAATAAAATTAGTTGCATCAAATGTCTGTGGAATAGTTAAGAGAAGGACAGCTGGGTTTCTGAGCAAAGGCAAAAAAAAATAATAATAATAATAAAAAGGACAAAAATTGTAATAAAAAGACAAATTATAAGCTTAAATATCAATATAGTAATGAAATAAACCAGTACTTCACAAAAAAAAAAAAAAAAAAACATTACATCAGATGTCTGTGGAATTGATCCATGGACAAATATTAAATATTTATCAGCCATGCTTGTAATAATAAAAATAAATGCAGAAATGCTTATTTAAAGCTGCTTATCAGCATAATAATATTATGTGAATGTTGTGCATGTCTCTTATTTTATCTGCATCAACACTTTGCGTTGCATTCCACATATGAAAAGTGCTATACAAATAAATGTTTATTATTATTACTATTTAGTGAAAAATCCATGTTAAAAACTTTACTAAAAGTAACCCAATTTTCATGTTACCAGTATAAAAAAAACCTTAAAATTAATAAAATAACTTGTATTAAGAGTTCTGAGATAATTTTTTTGGATTGCCCAATTACACCCTTATTAGAATATTAGTGAATGTAATGTAGCAAGAACTATTATTAGAAATTGTCATCTTCAGAAAAAGGTGCACTACCACCAAAAGAACAAATAAAAAAAGTCGATGGGAAAAAAAAAAAAAAAAGTACAATGACATGATTAAATGCATCATGAAATGCTGCAATTGATGTGTACAAGCGCAATGATACACAAGCAGAAGTAAAGTGTGCAATAGATCATTCATGTAAAAAAAAAAAGAAAAGCTATCCCTTAAAATGAAGTTATAGTCAAACACCCTGAAATAAAATGGTAAACAATACAAGTCAGGATAACTGACTGAACACAGACTCATGTCCTGTTAACAGTGCACACCTGTTGTGACGGGCCACCGACTCCTCTGACGGGTCCTGCGAGTCCAGCGGGAGCCTGTGCCATCGGCGCTCCAGCGGGAACACCTCGACCCGCCGCTCTGCCGACACCGGGACCTCCAGCCACTCCGGCCAGCGGCACGCGGGCGATGCCAGTCTGTTTTAAATGGCCGACATAATCAGTTTGATCAAAGCTCAATTTTACACAAGCACCCGATTAAATAAAAAGCACTATATAAATAAATGTGATTGACTCACGTCTTTAGGAGGGGGTCCTTCTACAGTCATGGACACGAGATTCTCTCCTCGGAGCAAAACCAGACCCAACACCCTCTTCTCCTCTCGCTCCGGCTGCTTGGAGTTCTTGGGTCTGTGAAGGACGTGATTGAGAAATATTGATATGCTGAATTTTCATAACGGAGGGACTTTAAAGGAATAGTTCACCCAAAATGAAACTAATCCATGATTTACTCACCCTCAAGCCATCCTAGGTGTACATGACTTTTTCAGCCAGAAAAATCCTGGCTCTACCCAGCTTTATAATGGAAGTGAATGGAGGATTATTTCAAAGGCCAAAAACACATTCATCCATAAGTAAAGAGTACAACTCTAGTGTTGATAAAGGCCTTCTGAACCCATATTTATAACTTTATCAACTATAATCACTAGCTTCTAGTAACAGCTGTATGCGAGCCTAGTTCTGGTTGAAGTGACGCCTGACTCGACGTGTTGACGAACATGGAAGCTCATAAAGCAAAACAAAACTGTTTATAAAAAGGTACAATTTAAAAAAAAAAAAATGCATGGCTTCGCTTCAGAAGGCTGTTATTAACGTCTTTTATAATGAATGGATGCAGTTTTTTGGGCTTCAAAATCTCAGGCTCTATGCACTCCCATTATAAAACTGGGAAGAGCCAGGATATTTTTTAGTAAAACCGACTATGTTCAACTGAAAGAAGAAAGTCATGTACACATAGGATGACTTGAGGGCGAGTATAATATGGAATAATTTTTTGGGAGACATAACCCTTTAATTTTCACAAGGACTCACTTGATCTTTCTGAACTCGTCACAGTCGCACAGGATCAGGTTCATGTGTTTGTCGAACGCTTTGAACGTGCCGATGAAGATCCGCCCGTCCTGCAGGATACAGCGCATCCGGAAGTCGATGTGCTGCAACATCTTACTGCTCTTGCCGACCGTCTGAAACACAATAAAGAGAAAAGAGTAAGAGATGAGTCATATGAACATAACCCAGCTGATACTTTTTATAACAAATTAAAGGGAAAAACCACCAATACGTTGTACACTTCATTGCGTTTTGGTGGCTGATTTACAATTCTATACTTAATTATGAACGCTTAAAGCATTGAAATCAGAAAAAAAATGACCGTAATAATCGTTTGAGCAAAATAAAAGTCTCTTCACAGTTACCGCCGCAAAACTCGCCGCCTGAAGCAGAGTACATGAAAACGTAAACCATACACGACTACAGCAGAAAAAAAGTGCTGCAAATCAGAATTACGAAATTGAATGAAAACGTATATAATGTGAACGCTTAGAGCAATGAAATCCGCTTATAAACAAACTATTGGCGACGACGGAGGTTTAAGCAAAATAAAAGTCTTCTTCCGGTTAGACCTACACAACTGACTTGAGCAGAGGACATGAAAACGTAAACAATAAACTTATACAGCTAAACAAACAAAAATACGTCCTGAAAAACATAATTCGTTAAATTTCATCAAAACTCATGTAATAACGTCCGATTAACGCATTTAAATCGAAGCCTCAAGCTGAAGTTCGGCTGCAAGAGCAAACAAACGGCGCTCATTCATTCTCCTGTCTGGATTTTAGAGATACATTTCTGTATTCTGTATTATTATACAAATATTTCAGGAATAAACTACCATAACTAACGTGCTTTATATCACAACTTTAGCGTTTCCGGCTGCTTTTTTCTTAGAACACTGCAAGCGGTTTTGCTCTACGTATCAACAACGTAATGGAAACGCAGACATTTTTTTATTCAAAATCCTAAATAACCAATAGAAAAATATTAAGATAACCGATAAATCACACACTAATGAGCTAAATAATGAAGTCTTACCATGGTTGCTGTTAGGATGGCTCCGATTAAAATCGGATTCTGCCAAACAAGGTTTAAAAATTGACCCGCGAAGCGCCGCTGGGTCCTTTAATGGAGGCGAAGCGGAAGAGAGTGCGACACGAAAAAGAGTCCAACCGGAAACACGGAACACGATCAAAAACGGTCCCTTCCTCTTGTTTGTTAGTTTTACGATAAAGTGTCTTCAAAAATGTAAAATAAATAAAGGAACAATAGCATATTAAGTATGACACAGTAAGGAAATAAAAATAACAATATAATTTAATAATGTATCATCTTGATTTCTCTTATTTAGTTATATGTTTTACTTTAAAAATGTAATGTCGTGAGGTCATCTTTCTTAAAAGTTAACAAGGTCAATTGCCCACAACAGAACACAGAATATTGTTGTTATACAGCTGGAGCCAGTGTTAACAAACCATTTTACAAAACACATTTTTATATACAGCTTACTGTATGTGTTATTACTAAATAATTCTAAATACTTCCAGTACTGCAATCCTTTAATCAAAACATGTTCAAAAGCATGTATCATTTTTTTTATTCAGAAAAAACTGGTAACCTTAAACATAGATTAAATAAGAAGAAAATAATGTTTATTTTGTTTTTTTTATTTCTTCAGCTGAGAATAAATTGGTATCTTTATATTAATCATTCAACTGTACACATTCACTTAAGAAAAATAAATATAATCCAAATCATTAAACACAGCTTTACTCAATGTTAATGTGTTACAGATAGCAGGCGAATCAATAAATGATGTACAGTAAGAAAATAAAGAGGTCGGCCTTTACATATTCAGACCTACAAAATGCTTTAAGACATGAAAGATGAATCTTGACCTATATCCGTCAGTTATTTTAACACGAACAATCTGGTATAAAGTAAATAAAGTGCCCTGTAGCAAGACCTAGTAACAAACGCTATTGACATTTCTGATGACAGATTTAATTTAACATGAAGTGAACCCGTTTACCGAGGAGTTCACATCACAAATGAATCAAAATCATGTTCTGGAAAACAAATCTGTGCAAATGCTAACACACAAAAAACTGCTTTGCTTGTTCAAATCCTACCTCTAAATCTGTTATGATCATAAGTTATTCTTTGTACATTAGTATTTACAGTCCTGGTTTTGTGTTTTGCATTTGAACAAGAAGAAAAGTCTTTTGAAACGCACAGAATATCCATGAGGTCAGGACTAAATCTTCGGCATAACATCTCTACAACACAAACACACTTTTTTATTTTCCAAAATAAAGCACATTTTGCACGAATTTAGTGATTTTGGTGAACAACATCATTTTTTTTTTAAGTTATAAAAGACTTCAGGCTGTGAATTTGCCCACACTAAATCATCTAGCATTATAGCATTAGTCGTGAGGTTTGTGAACTCTGGTAGGAAAGTGAATAGATGGTTTGATGGACTATTGCTTTATGTGAACCCAACCACACATGCATAAACATACTCTCAATGTAGGCATTTCCAGGTCACAGCTCACCTAAAACTAAAAAGGAAATTATATTTTGCATAAAAAAAACACGAAGCCTATCCTCTGCAACGGTCACAGCAATAAGAATGAGATTTTCCTGCATTAAGTGTAAAAACTAAAAATTGCACGTCTCGCGTTCCTCATGCAATATTTCTAATTTCCTTTGATTCTGATGTGAAATATAACCCGTTGCATGTTGCAGGTTTAGTACTAGCCATAATCACCACCAGGCCAGTGTTTTCATTAATAAAGTGCAAACCTTTCTTTTGAACTGGTTAACCCATATCTAAAAAGGATTTAGGTGCAATAAAAAAGTAATGAAAGTGTAACTCCTCCTTACTTGCACACGCAACACTCATACCATGCAAACTCACACTTCAAGTCGTAGAGGGAGCCTGTTGCATGTGCATCACTAGAGTCGAGACAAGCGGCAGTCATTATTAGGTAGAGGATCACAGTGTGCATAGAGTGAGCCGACGTCTGGCCAATGATCATTGAGTAAGGCAGCATAAATCAGAAAAGTGGAAATGGAAGCCTAAGCCGGCAGATTTCCTTCCAACAAAACACTGTTTATTCCTCGATTCCTGGTTTAAAGTAGCAGCGGCAGCAGCTTTTGATATGATGGTGAAAGCTGATGTGTGTCGTCACTCGTGCGCACGCGTCACTCTTGCCCGAAGCCTTCGGTTTCCTCGATGGCGAACAGCAGCTTCTCCTTTAACTGCTCGTAGCTTTTATAGGGCGGCAGATCCAGCCGGTTGAAGCTGGTGGGGTGAACAATAAAAGAAACTTGTGTTTTAGATATTATTATTAACTTTAAGAATGCTATGTTTTTAGTAAATGATTTCATCTTGATTGTAAAGTGAATGAAGTGCACACCGGTCATTTACAGTCAAAGTCATTTGTGATATGTTTTTACTAGTGTGTGAAGGACACTATAGTTCACTAATGTAAGTGAGGAGAGCAAAATAAAGTAAACTGTGACATATCATACCCAGTAATTATTCATCAGTCCCTCCAGAAAAACGCGATTACGCGATCGCTGAATTCAATGCAAAATCAGCCAAAGTCCGCATATTTATGCGGGGGCCGCATTTTTTAAAATACGCCGCACTTGCGCCGCATAAATTGCCGATTTCCGTGCAAAATATGCGGGGTTTGCATAATTTCATAATCCTCGCATTTTCGTTGCAAAAAAGTCACATGTATCTTAGCAGAAAGTTGAAAAATGTTGCGTTTGCTTCACACAAGAGCAGCCATTTCCCCCTGTTTCCATGGGAACGTTATGAAGTGACGCAATTACGCGACGCCGGACAGACTCACGGAGGCGATTGACATCTCACAAATCGAACTCGTATAACTGTCTGTCGAACGTTCTACTGTCACATCGTTACTTAATAAACAACATAAGATAAAAGAAGTAGCACACATGGGGTGTTCGAGGCGCACATACGTATAACACTGCAGAGAGTTCAACAAGGAGCGCGCAGCTCTTAAAGGGGCCACGCCTTATTTACACTCTTACAGTCTGAAATAAAACAAGATGAGAAATTAAATATTCCCAGCACTTTCTATGATGATGTATGCTTGCTTATCAAAGGAAGTAATAAGAAATGACTCTTACATTAGCCTAGTGAGAACAGGATGTTGGGGGAATCACTTTTTTTCTCTTTTTCATCAAACTGCAATTTTTCAGCCCATTCTCACCCCCAAGGCATCACTTAACTGACGCCTTGGGAAGCATTTGGACATGCTTCAATATCTGACCCTCAATTTTTGCAAATTCCTGCAATTTTATCGCATAAAATTGCATAAATATCCTGCATATTCCATTTCATTTTTAAAGAAAACGGGCCGCATAATCAATCAATTTTTGCCCGCAACAATCCCAAAAAAACTCAGAGTTTTTCTGGAAGGACTGAATACTATTATGGTAAATGTTATATATAAATCGCAAATTTTTTCACAAATTTTTGGAAATTACCACCACAAAATCAGTCATTTTGATCGCAAAAATCACAAAAAAAAATCGTGAAATCCTGGAGGGACTGATTCATACAGTGACTACCAGTAAAATCTGGGACCAAATATTAATCCTCCACTTTGAGCTGATCATGTTTTCTATAATTGCTAATGCTCAATACAACATGAAGCATTGCTTGGTGACTGGTTGAGCTAAACTGGTATTATCTAATTGTGTAGTTAGATTTAACAGATATTAAACATAATTCTCTAAGTCTAACAGAAAGGATGAAAAAAAAACAGTCAAATATCAACTCATTTCATGTCATATTTTATCACCATTTTCTAAACTATAGCGAATAAACTGTAATAATGAGAGAAATGTTGAAGGTTTCTGATAATGTTTGGTTTGACTATATCATTAACTTTAAGAATGCTATATTTTTAGCTTGAAGATAGTAAATGATTTAATCTCGATTGTGAAGTGAATGAAGTGCACTCTGGTCACTGATGCAATACAGATTGTGTGAGAACAGGCCTGCATATACTGTACATTATGGTGATGAAATTTGATTTCTGATCTTACCATGTGTGGCTCCTCGGCAGCCAGTTTTCTTTTCCCACTTTCTCAATACAGAACTTCTGCGGCCCATTGCTCCCTACAGAAATAAAACACACATTCTGATCAATAAACATATTCGGTAACACTTTACAATAAGGTTCATTAGTTAGCATGAACATAACAGACTGCACTTATAGAGCATTTATAACATTCACTAATACTTTATTAAAATCTTGTTAACATTAGTTAATGCACTGTGAACAAATAATAAACAGCAAGTTTAAAAAAACAACAACAAAAAATAATTTTAAAGAAAAAATTCTTCATATATTACAATTAAGATGATGCAAAAGATCACATTTCATAATCATTTACTCACCCTCATTCTAATTTTTTTTATTAATTAAACATTATCTTGCTTTAGGTTTTCAGAAAATTGTACGCAGATTAAATATTCTATAATGTTTGTAATGAACATGTATTTTTATTATTTTTAAATTTAGTACTATAGACCATTTTGCAAGATGTAAACAACACTGGTCCAGAAACACTTCCTGTTTCAGTTTGTAACTGTTTTCTTTATTTCACATGTAAAGAAAACATCTTAAAGCTGTTTGTTTCATTTTGATTCAGTTTTATATGTTCTGTTGGTTGTATTTTATCCCAGCTTTTATGTAGTGTTAAAAAACCGAAACAGGAAGTGCTTCTGGACCAGTGTTGTTTACATCTTACAAAATGGTCTATAATAACCATGTTCAGAACAGAAATATTTTTAATATCATCTATGGTTTGGCATGACCCTTACCCATAAGATCAGCGAATCCCCCGACAGGAAGTCTGCACGTGCCGGTTACAAACTGCAGCAGTCGCATACGCTTCTCATTGTCGATCTCCTTCACAAACTAAACACAGACAAGACAACAGATGATGGAACACCAACACCAATATGGCAGCATCTCCACATTTATGATCACGTGGGTGTGATTTGATGTAAGATCTAACCTGCCAGAACCAGACGATCTGTTTGCTGCTGCGGGCGTAGTGTCTGTAGATGGCGTTCCTCTGCCAGTCCCCCAGATCAATCTCCTGCATCCCACACAGCATCACCTACACCACAATTACAGGATCAGAACATACAGAAGACATCGGATCTAGAAACTATGGCCTTATTTAGACCTCATAATGACAGTGAGTCTCAAGACTAAAAGCAGTCGAATGCATCTTTCTTGTGCATTTGGAGGTGAGAGATGCATGTGGCCATATCACATTTTGTAGTGTTAACTATAATGCACCATGACGTCCCAAACAACAGCTAAAGACAGCCTGCTCACCCAACATGTAGTCAAGGGTTATGGCTTTAAACACAAACAACCCTCCAGTTAAAAAAAAGTAACAATCTCCTGATCTATCGTCCTGTGCCATTTTCAAGAAACACCTGAAGACGCATCTTTTTCGGCAACACTCATACTGCGTTAGACTATCCTATTGTTGGTTTAATTGCTTCTATTGCTCTCCTCATTTGTAAGTCGCTTTGGATAAAAGCGTCTGTTAAATGATTAAATGTTAAATGTGCCTATCGACGATCTATGATTCACAAAAAAAGCCTTTGAACACTATGAGTTGTAGTTTGTACCTCCAGTTCTTTGGCATCAAAGTATTGCAGGTACTGCTGTGGCAAGACCTCATTAAAGCCCTCGAGGAACGCCTGAGTTTGTTCCTCAACACCTCTGGACAACCTCCACTCAGCAACCAACCTGTCACACGGTGGATTTCACAATCAGTCACTGATATTAGCGCTAATAACAGGGGCGTAATTATTTGCTCTGCGAAAAGATTCTATGCTATGCATCATGCAATCTGAAATCTGGAATTATTTTGATTACTTATTTTCAAAATATGCTGAAAAAGAGGGAAAATTAATCAATACCACATCAATACTTTCATTAGATATTTTTACAGTCCCAGTGGCTAACAATATTTTTAATATATATGTATGTGTATGTAAATACACTGTTGGGTTGTATCTCCAAAATCATTACTATAACACACAGTTTGGAGTTTGTTTGCAGTGCAAGGGTAAATAAAGAACTTTTTTTACTCAAGAAACACTATATATATATATATATATATATATATATATATAAAGGCTAATGTTTTATGTATTTGAAGAGCGGAGAAGACTGTCATTGAGCCATTTCCAATACTGCCTTATATAGCCTGTGTGTCGAAGCACTTCATCTTTAATAACATGACATTTTGGACAAATGACAGAAAAAACTGAGTGGCCATATAGCTACAGTAAATAACCTTGACAAAACACGTCCTAAAAAAATCACTGGTAAAATGTTAATAATATAAGGACTCATGCAAATGTTTGACCATATATAAAGCCACAATATCAACTTTAACAATGCAGTTTAATTATTTAAAAAAATATGTTTTTTTTTCCATTTTCTGAAAAGTAGCATTTTTGGAGATATGAGGTTTCCGCCTAACACAATGATATATTAAATTATTATTTACATGTATATATACTGTATATATATAATTCTATGAATGAGATTTCCTACCTGATATACTCCTCTTTATTTTCCTCTGTCACCTGAATGTTTCCTCCATCAGGTTTGAGTTCATGAGTGGTGACCTCTCCCAGAATCTCTTTATCCACCGAGAAAAACATCTCCAAGCCACATTCCTCTATATTATTATCCCTAGAGAAAAACATCATTATCTCCAACCATAGTCAAATTGCATACAAAAATAGGTGATCAAAAATAGCACCGTTTTTGTTTCGTAATTAAAAGCAGTCACTGGGATTGTTAATTTTCTCATAACTCCTGTCCCTTATTTTCACAGTTTTAATCTTCACAAGCCCTCACTCATGTTTCTTATCATCAACTCATCCTCACTCACTTGATCCAGATGAGCGAGTTGTAAAACTCCGGGTCGATGGACTCCAGGTCTTTCAGAGCCAGAGGTTTATTCAGGATTCGCTTATAAAAGGGCAAAGAGAAGCCTGTGTCTATGAACTTTCCATGAAAGAGAGCCTATGAGAGAAAGAGATGTTCAGACATTTTAATTGAAGTCCAAACTATGATCCTGCAGTCTGTCCAGTAGAGGCATTAGCTATTTGGTCATCAGCATGACTAAAGCGTCATACCATTGCAATGAACCGTCCAATGAACTTGAAGTACTTGAGGTGATCGGGGTTAATGGAGGACGCGGGGTTAATCTGCAGGCAGTAGTTGTCTTTCCCGGCATATTCGAACAGACAGTACATGGGGTTCAAGACCTCGTGGGAGAGCAGGAAGAACCATTCCCTATGACAGAAACACAACATTATTGTGCGTGTGCGCATAAATCAACTCAAGTCATCACTTCCTGTAAATTATGTAATATACCTTGCCACGCCTCCATAATCAAGACCCTCCTCTCCTGGGAAAATAATCCACAATCTCCGTCTCAGATCTTGTGGATGGCAACTCATAATCTAAACAGATCAAATTACAAATATTTAATTTCTTTTTATATGCCACATGATGACTCACGTCACCCAGAAATGACTTGTCAAATATTAAAAAAATGTAATTCACCTGTTGAAATGAGTCCTCAAACAGTGTTTTGCGACTGACGTGGATCTTAATGTGCTGAGGCATTGCTAGTTGCTATGGTATTAAAAGGATAATTTTAATTAATTAATCACATGTGCAAATATTGCCCTGTTATATATATATATATATATATATAAAATTAATGATATATTACATTATTTAAAAACAGATCACATTTTTAAACAATCTTCACTGACATTACTGCAAGTTTCTTGCATTGTCTGCTACTGACTTACCAATAATTAAAATGACAACATTTGTTCAGTTATTGTTATGGTGTTTTGCTGATTAAACCGAAGTAATATAAAATTTTTTAATGAAACATTTATAACCCTAATTAAAGAACAGTAGCAGGTTTTTAACAAAATCCAGGTCATTTTCTGAAGATTTAGAGTCAAAGCGACTAAAAAATATAGTTTGTAACTGAAGTCACTCAGTCTCACCTGACACCAGAAGCGGAAATAGTGCACTTTGGCTTTAAAGTCTCGTACGTATGTGATCTGAGGGCCGTTCTCACTGCGGGTTCACAAAGACAGAAACAGACTGTAAAACTACACCAAAACCTGGCTGTAATACATCAACAGACAATATTGTAAAAAAGAAAAAAAAAAACATGAAACTTTTAATTGCATTAAACCGCATTTGACTTATGTAACATATTTCTGTTTCTAAGTGAACATATTTGTATCCTAAGACAGGAACAACACTGTCTATGCTTTCATTAAGAACATCTACAAACACAGCGAGCGACAGAGGTCACAAAAGACATTCTCTTCATCAGTGGTGGACAGTAACGGAGTAAATGTAATTCGTTACTGTACTTAAGTAGCTTTTTTGCGTATCTGTACTTTACTCAAGTATTTAAATTTTGGGAGACTTTTACTTTAACTCCACTACATTTCAAAGTCAAATATCTTACTTTTTACTCTACTACATTTTCAAAATCAGTCGTTCCTTTTTATTTATGAGTGGATAAAAACGTAACTGGTCAAACGAGCCACCAATCACAGTACAGCGCATGTGCTTTGTTTTGAACTTGCCTTGGCTTTAACTACTAAGCGCAAACCAGAGCCGTTTAATATGAGAGTTGCGTACATAGATGGTTGTGACAGTGATCTCGCCGCCGCGCGGTCACGTTATTCGTGTAGCTCTCAATAGTTCCAAACAAATCGCGTTGACAATGATTTTAAGCGGGACAAAGAGCAGTATTATTGGAGCAATATCGGTAAGTTGACTCATAATGTACATTGCTTACGTTGCCACTAAAATGACTTGCATATAATAACTTTTTTTCTGGGGAATAGCCTAGCAGAAACACTGCATTAATACGTTTTTGTGTTTAATTTTGGAGGGAAATTGGCTGCTCCCATAACATAGAATATATATATATATATATATATATATATACACACTACCGGTCAAAAGTTTAAGATCTTTCTTTCTGAAGAGAAAACGCAAAAGTGGCGTTGCATCATCACTTTTTATTCTGCGTTTAGATGAGCGTTTTGAGTGGGAACTCCGCGTGCAAATGGTGACGCAAAAGTGTGTGAAATTCAATGTAGTATGCACTTCAGGCGGCTAGGAATGCATACTACAACACCACCAAGCCCGCGCACCTGCGTACAACCTTCACTATCAAGCAGAAGTTTTTTTTGCGATTTTAAGCCTCAAAAACGCCGTCGCCGTGTAAACGAAAGGCACATCCGATAAAATATTTTTACGTTCTCACCCGCGAGCGTTCTCGTGTAAACAGGGCCTAACAGAACAGCATTTATTTAATTAGAATCTTTTCTAACATTATAAATGTCTTTCCTATAACTTTTGATCAATGTAACTCATCCTTGATGAATAGAAGTATTGATTTCTTATTTATTGCTCCCAAAAATAAAATACAAATTCTTACTGACCCCAAACTTTTTAAAGGGTAGTGTTTAATGTAACAAAAGCTTTCCATTTCAGATAAAAGCTGTTCTTTTGAACTTTCTATTCATCAAAGAATCCTGAAATAAAAATGTAAAAAACTGTTTTCAACATGGATAATAATCATACATGTTTGAGCAGCAAATCATCATATTAGAGTGATTTGTGAAGGATCATGTGACACTGAAGACTGGAGTAATGATGCTGAAAATTCAGCTTTTCTTCAGAGGAATAAATTACATTTTAATATATATTAACATAAAAAAGTCATTTTAAATTGTCATAATATTTCACAGTATTACTGGGTTTTTTTTTGTATTTTTTATCAAAAAATTGCAGCCTTAGTGAGCAGAAGAGACTTCTTTTAAAAACATAAAAAATCTTACCGATCTTAAACTTTTGACCGATAGTGTGTGTGTATATATATATATATATATATATATATATATATATTTACACATATATCAGACTAATTAATGTCATTTCATTAATAGATTGGTGTGCCAAAAGTGTCATTAGTCTTCACTTAGATTGAGTTAAGCAAGAGTCTTGTGACAAATTACAATAGGACATTATAGCCATAAAAAAAAAAGTACTTGGATACTCAAGTACATTTGAAGGCAAATACTTTTGTACTTTTACTCAAGTAAATGTTCAAAGGCAGCACTTTAACTTTTACTTGAGTAATATTTTACCTTGAGTATCTTTACTTTTACTCAAGTACATGGTATGTGTACTTCGTCCACCACTGCTCTTCATATATTAAGCTATTAAAATGGCTTACAGGGAGGATTTTCCTGTCCGAGGGTCGATATATGTCGTCGTTTTCCTGTTGTGATCAACGAAATAGGGAATCCCGTCCACCGTAAACCTCATCTCCCAACCCTCCGGCAAAGGCTTCTCATTCAACAACCTGACGAACAAAAACATTTCATTCAGGCAATAATTCTCCTTGTCAGCTTATTCTGTGAAGTTTTACATCAAATAATAATATCATATAGCAGGGAGGCAATTTAGCTGTGTTCAGGGTTATTGTCGTTAACTAAAACTACAAAACTATTAAAAATATTTTTGTTAATTGAAAAAGAAAAGCTGAAATAAAAAATAAAATATAAATATTAGATGCAAAACTTCAACTGAATGAAAATTAGACATATTGCCTTGGCAACTAACTGAAATAGGGTTAAGACGAGGAACTAAAATAACTAACTGATAAAAACTAACTAAAATAACTAAACTAAAAAACTCAAAACTAAAACTGAAGTAAAAATAAATTAAAACAAAAGTCATTTAAAAAAAATGGCAAAAGGACAAAACAAAAAGTGAAAAATAACAGCTAATATGAAAAAAAATAAATAGAGCTTCACGATAGTGGATAGACTTTTTGAGAATTGAGAATAACTTTTTTTTTTTTTACAAATAGAGTAATAGACTAATAAATGTTTCAATGAAAAATACGTTTTAAACAGCCACTTACTGGCGTAACTATGTAATCGATACAATAATTTTTTGAAGCGTCGTGTTGCTTTTAAAAAGGTGATTTGCTCTATTTATATATGTTTATCTGTTCTATTTCTATCTGAAATATAAACTTTTATACTGTGTGGTAGAAAAGACTGTTTGTGAAGCCGTTTCATACCTAAACATGCTCAAAGGTTTAATAAACAGAGGCGAATCACTGTCATTTAGAAATCAGTTCGTGTGGGTGTTAAAAAATGAAAATAAAATATAAAATAAAAAAAAATGAAAAATACTAAAATAACAGTGGCTTTGGTTGTGATTTTGTCCCACCCTTGTGTGCGAGGATCCTCCCATTGCGTGGATCTTGTAGGATGATGAACAAAATACATCCTCCTATTACTGTCTGTCCGTTTCTCTGTGAGCCAAACAACACACAAGCAGGAAGTAAAGACAGTGTGAGCCCCTCTATTATGAGAGGATTTCTGCAGTATAAAAATGACTCACCCCATCCCGCCGGCAGAGGACCCAGAGGGTCAAACTCTTTATTAGCTGCAGGCACAAGCTGGTCCTGCTGCTGAAGAGATGAGCAGACAGAAGGAATGAGGACCGCTTAAATATCCTCAGCTCGGCATCTTTTCATTTAAAATAGCTTGAAAAAATTGATGTCCATTATCTTTGACATATTTACTCACCCCATAGATGAATCTCTGGTTGAAGCGGTGCATGGCTCCCTGCAGCTGACTGCGCTGGTTCTGCCACTCCTCGTAGTTTCGGACCGACTCTAGTGTGGGTCTTTGCCATGTGGTGGTTCTGATTATATGATCCACATAGTACACACGGCCCATCGGGTCCAAGCGACGCTCCCAACTACCACACAAACACACACAATTCTCTAAAACAACTGTTTGTTGTTTCATCCAAAACCTTGGATGATTTCTGATACCAACAACAACAAGTAGGCTATTATTAATATTAGTAGTAGTAGTAGCAGCATTAATCTTTCATACATAAAATGCAGCTAAAACGGTTTCACAGGTCAGAAACTAAAAAAGCATTAAAAAAATGGCATTTTATTAAAAAAGTCAGTCAGTAACACTACCTTAGTTAACATGAACTAAGAATGAACAATACTTCTACAGCATTTATTAATCTTAGTTAATATTAATTTCAACATTTACTAATACATTATTAAAATCAAAGGTTGTATTTGTTAACATTAGTGTACTATGATCTAGCATAAACAGTGAACATCTGTATTTGTATTAACATTAACAAAGATTAACTAATATAGTAACAAATGTAGTGCTCATTGTTAGCTCATGTTAGTAAATACATTAACTAACGTTAACTAATGAGCCTTATTGTAAAGTCTGACCAAAAATTACGCTTAAAATATATGAATCGAACGCCAGCTTAAATGCCATTTTCAGATGCTCTTGAATGTTTAGGAGCTTGTCAAACTTCACTAAGTAAAGGGGCATAATGACTCAAATCAGTCAGACAGCATCTCTGCATCAATGGTTACCCCGGTGGTAGCGGTTCTGGTCTTTCCCATGTGGTTCTTTTCTCAATATGATCCACATAGTAAACACGGCCGTTCTGATCCACTCTCTGCTCCCAGCTACACCATACAAACAGAAATTTCATTAAACATACGAGACTTAAATCCATACAGGCTTTCTGACATGCAGCAGGAGCATAAGCTCTTATACGTGGTGACAAATGAGAACATGTAAACTAAACTAAACTAAAAAAGTAGAAAGGTTTTTGATGTCACATACCCAGGAGGAAGAGGGCTGCTGTTGATTAGCGAAGCTACGGGTGGTGTTGGACTGGCACTGGGGGCCTGATTTGACCCTGAACCTGAGCTTGACCCTTGACTCTCCGTTTCACCGTTCACACACACTCGTGGAGACGCCTCCGGGCTGGGAGCTCTGCTGCCGTGTGTGGGAGTAGAGCCAGCAGAGGATGCTAAAAAACAAAACAACAGGTAGGGAACTTTGCCTTAAAGTGCCGCTATTATGTTTTTTCAGATAGGACCTTTCAAGTAGTGTGTAATGCGAATGTAACATGAAAGTTTTAAAGATCAAAGTGCAGATGAATGGTGACTACCTGCCCATTTTTTTTTTTTTTTTAATTCTGAACGGCATGAAACGAGTCGATAATAATTCCAGTATCACTTCCTGTTACAAACCTAGGTAGATTTGAAACAAATTTGCAAAATGCAAGCCCGTGGTCTTCATTGAACAATGCCGTTGGAATAATCATAACAAACTGGGCCATCTGACCAATCAGAGCAGAGTCCGCTCACGGAAAGGTGGGGTTTAGAGAGACAGTGTCCGAAACGGTTCGATTAAGGATCCAGTGATAAAAAAGCTAATGCTGCAGTGTAAATTATGAGAAAATGAATGTGTTTTTTGACCTTGGATGCATGTAAACATATTGTAGGAGACACATGTGACACCATATTGTTACATCCCTATTGATAAGGTTGTCTACCTGTGGAGGAAGTGTGTTTATGTGCCGAGGCAGGAGGCGGTCGCTGAGGTCGAGATGGACGCGGTGGTCTCAGAGCCCCTGCGGATGGAGAGGAAGACTCAGTACTTCCCACTGCATGACCATTGGGCAGTGGCGCTTCATCAGTGATGTCACTGGATGGGGACGAATCTCGACTAGACCAACAACAAACAGAGACCATCAAACATAAATAGCAAAAAAACACATTTAACAATAAGGTCTCATTTGTTAACTTTAGATAATGCATTAACAAACACGATCTAAGTTTATTAACCTTTGTTAATGCTACTAAATAAAAATGTTCATATTCATGCAAGTTCACTGTGCATTAGCTAATGTTAACAGATGTTAACTTTTGATCTCAAAAATGTATTACTAAATGCTGATAAATCCTTTAGAAGTACTGTTCATTGTTAACAAATGAAACCTTGTGGCAAAATGTGAATTTCAACCTATACCTATTCAACCAGCCTATAACCTGTTTTATTTATATTCCACAAATCAACCACTAACATTTAATAATATGGCAATCTTTTAATGCATATTATCTAAACCAAAAATAATGAGAATATAAATGAGTATATTATAAACTAAAGAAGGGAAATATTTTACACTGCTGTTATGTATTTATAAATCCTGTATTATGATGATCTATAAAATGCACTGAGTGAGCAATGAAGATATTTCCCTTGAGAACTAATTTAATCAAGAATTCAAAGAAAGATACAAGCTCTTTCTGCACATAATGTGGCAATATCAGAAACTGCACAGTAGAGTTGAATAATCTTTATTTTACCTCCCCGCTACATCCCCGTTCTGTGTGGGTTCTCCATTTACAGCTGAATCTGTGATTGCAGAGAAACAACAACATTACACAAATCTCCATTTTAAACAGTAAAGAATTAAAGCTGCACGACTCTGGATAAATTGAGTCAAAACGAGATCAAGATTCTGTGCAGACGACTAAACAAAATAATGGAATTTTTTTAGAGGTTCAGGCAAAATGAATGAATCTATTTAATCTGAATGAATGATTTTTTTCTTATTGAACGAATGATTCAATGACTTTACTAGTTTCATTACTGGATGAAGCAGCGTTTTTTTTTTTTTTTTTTTAACAAATCTCTTGATTAAATGACAAATATATTTTTATCAGTCACTTGTCACCACCTTATTTGAAGTGTCATGTTACTTTCAGAAGGTAATTTATTCTATTTTGATCGTGTTCTATTCACATCAGTGTTGATATCCAAAAAACAGCAGAGATAAAGAAACTCTCACTGTGCTTTTGTTCCTCTGAAGCAAAAGTCTCGGGATCCATCTGTAGTCCATCCAGACACACTGAGAGATCTCCAACCACCTCCGATCGCACTCTGTCTGAACTCAACTGCAACGTCTGCACAACCTCAGAAACTGAGACACACAAACGCACACGATATTCAACATAACACTGCTTACAGAACTGAAAAATGTATATTAACAGCCCATAAAAGCAGTACCCTGATGCCAACACTTTTTGATCATGGCTTTTTCATTGCTTATTAAATAAGGATTTTTTTTTTTTTTAAATGACTCGTTTAGAGCGAGTCATGAATTGATTGAAATGAATCATAAAATAAACCAACATCATTTACCAAAAGTGCCATATCAAGCAGATTAAATATAAGCTTTTAAAGATTAAAACCAGGTAAATCATATTCACAGATGACCTGGAAAGCTAAATTGGCTTCACTAAGCAAGCTCACAGCATCACTTCAGGTCACAGGGAAAGAAAATGGTAACCTGGTTCCAGGATAATCAACACCCTCAACTCAATCTCAGTTCTATAATTCACATCAGCGGTGAGCGGTCACACCATTCCCACATGACAAGGTCTCTGAAAAAACCCTTTGTTTGATACTATGAGTCAGTTCACCTGCCTCTTTCTTTTTATCTTTAACTCTTGAGTGCACACGCACGCACACACCAAACAGGCCTGACTCTGAATAATGAGATTCACAAAAGGAACAATATGGAAACTCACTCTTCATATTGTTGGCTTTTAAGGTCTCGCTGACCTCCAGAGTGGCCAAGCCCAGCAAAATGTCGGCTTTAAGTGTCTGGTGACTCCAAACCCGGAAAATTAACTTGCTGAAAGGGCTGACGATCCTGCAGGGAATATGATCAACAGAGCAGTGATGTTACTGTTAAATAAAACTATTCAAAAATTATTGAAATAAAGCTGACTTAAAAGTTTTATATTCCATAATTCAACTGCTAACAATCAATAATCTGGCCATATTTGTATGCATTTTATATCAAATAAAATAATGAGAATATATAAGACAAACCATATTCACTACACATATATGTATCATTAAATCATGTATTATGATCTATAAAATCACAAGTGCACTGAGCGAGCAGTCGAGATATAAATAATATATAAATATTAGATGAAAAACACTTGGCAACTAACTGACAAAAAGTTAGTTAAAAGTACTAAAATTACAAAAAAACTAAAATACAATCTAATAAATCTAAACTGAAAATGTAAAATTACTAAAACTTATTATTAACTTATACCATTATGAATACATAATATAATGGTATGTCAAAAATACTAGAATAAAACTGACTGAAATAGTCATTACATTTTAATCATGTAGTTATGTGAATAACAAGACACGTTTAGTCTGGAGAGAGAGATCAGAACAATAGACAACACTTTACAATCAGGTCCCATTAGTTATTGTTAGTTGATGCATTAGCTAATATATTAACTAACAATGAGCAATGCATGTGTTACAGTATTTAGTACTGTTTGTTTATGTTTGTAAATAAAAATATAAATTGTTAGTTTAGTTCAAGTCCAAGAAATGTTCTATTTTACTAATGTATAAGTAAATGTTGAAATTAACATTAAAGATTATTAAATGCTTTAGAAGTATTTTTAATGTTAACTAATGTATTTAACTAATTTTAACAAACAGAACCTTATTGTAAAGAGTCACCGAACAATATAACGATAATAAATACTGATTCTGGATCAGCTCTGTAACTCAACAGTCACTCATTTTAGTTCATATGTCTATCTTACACAGTGAGAGACTGTTTCCATTTGGGACTGTGAGTGTTGGTGCATTTCTCCGTCTTCTTGGACTGGCCGTCCACACACACCTCCACGTAAGGACTGGGTCCAAACCAATTCTTCTTACTGTCCCGCAGCTTAGCGGACAGAACTAACCAAAGATAACAAATGTAATCACAGATCTATTCAAAGTATTCATCTGAAGACATGACAACAAATATCCAGATAGCTGACATCTTAAGATAATGACATCTTGTATGTGTGTGACTAGGGTTGGGTATCGTTTGAATTTGAACGATTCTGATTCCGATTCCGATTCCTAACGATTCTCGATTCCGATTCTTTTAAGAGGCAGGGTCAAAAAAGTTTAGCTAACCTTGCTAACCAACGGCCTTTCTGAAGGAAATAATCCTTTCTGAAGGAAATACTACTGTCAAAAATACTCCTTTTGTCACAAATTTTGCATTTTGCCGAGATTTCGTTATTTTTAAAAAAGTGTAGCCACACTTTGAATCGCCGACGTAAGGTACTCATGTTCGACACGCGCGATTATGGCAACACTTCTGGTAGACGCTTCTTCGTTGGTGTTGTTCAGCAGTTTCTTCTTCTGCTCGGCGGACTGTGAATATCGAAACTAGGAATCGAAATTTTTACTTTTTAACGATTCCGGGAAAAACGAAAAGTTAGTCCCGATTCCAATCGATACTCGATTCTCGATACCCAACCCTATGTGTGACCCAAATTGCAATTGTGAAGTCTTTCAATTATAAAATAGAGATTGTCCCTTTAGCTCACCTGTTATCTGAAGTTGAGACTTCATGTTGCGGCCATTAAAAGGCTCAAATCTGAAATAAACAAATAAGCATATATAGTCAAACCAAAATGTATTCAGACATCTTCAAGATCTCTCACATCATCATAGTTTATTCGCTATAGTTTAGAAAATGGTAATAATATGAGCAGAACTCAGAGTTATCAAATCAATGGATATTTGACTGGTTTTGTCCGTCCTTCTGTTCGACTCACACATGAATTATGTTGAATATCTGTCAGCTGTTAAATTTAACTACACAATTAGATAATACCAGTTTAGCTCAACCAGTGACCAAGCAATGCTTCATGTTGTTCAGTCTGTGTGTGAAAAGAGCATTAGCAACTAGAATGTACATTTCCAGACGAAAATGTGAAGTGGTGCTTGCAGTGGCAAAAAGCTCGCTCGGTTGCTAGGGTGTTCTGGGTGGTTGCTAGGGTGTTCTGGGTTGTTGCTAGGTGGTTGCTAGGGTGTACTGTGTGGTTGCTAGGGTGTTGCTAGGCGGTTGCTAGGGTGTTCTGGGTGGTTGCTAGGGTGTCATGGGTGGTTGCTATGGTGTTGTTAGGCAGTTGCTAGGGTATTCTGGGTGGTTGCTAGGGTGTTGCTAGCGTGTTCTGGGTGGTTGCTAGGTGGTTGCTAGGGTGTTGCTAGGAGGTTGCTTGGATGTTCTGGTATAGGTGGTTGGTAGTTGTCACAGATGGTTACTATGAAATTTGTAGCATTTTCTTGGCATGATTTAGCACTTAGCTAAACAATATTAGCATGTAGCTATTCTCTGCTAGCATGTGTAGCATGTAGCAAGTCATGTTTGCTAGCATGAGTCAAAAGACCCAACCCCCATCGTGATACAATGTTCTGATGCTGAGATATAGCTGTTACAAAATGGTTGCTAGGGTACTCAGTTTGGTTGCTAGGGAGTGGCTTGGCAGCTTCCAATCATGAAGCTCCAAAGTCAATGTGAATGTATAAACCAACCCCCATCTCTATACGATGTTCTGATAAAGAGATGTAGGCCTTGCAAAATGGTTGCTAGGGTACTCTTTTTGGTTGCTAGGGAGTGGCTTGGCAGCTGCCAATCATGAATCTCCAAAGGCTGCTTGTCAGTATAATTGATATAATACAACTCCCAAGCCTGTATGACATTCAGAATGGAAGATATCCCTCTTTAAAATTTGGTTGCTAAGGTGCTCGATAATGGTTGCTAGGGTGTGGCCAGAAATTGTTGAGGTGATTCATGATTGGCTGTTTGCTACCCCGAGTCAAACGAGACCACCCTTGTGTTTCTATGACACTTCTATCCGGAGATATCCCTTTGATCTCTTTCAATGGAAGTCTATGGGAGTTGTTGCTAAGGTGCTCTATATGGTTGCTAGGGCGTGGCTTGATAGCTTCACAATGATCCTGAGAGACTGATTGGTCGTCTGAGTAAAATGAGCCCGCCCCCTTGTCTCTATGACACTATGATCCAGAGCTATGTTCAATACAAAATCCCTATGCAATTTACCATAGTAGGAAAAACACATGCATTTGATGGGACATCCTTCACCATAGTAAGTCAATGGGGAAAATTTTGGGTAGCTCCTGCCCCCCAGGGGTGCAACTTTTACCCCATTGTGAGGTATGTTCTTACAGAGGCTGCCAGCCTCTTCAAATGTGGCAAATCACACGTTTTTCCGAAATCGTTGTTCGGAGCTATGAGTCGTCAAAGTTTGTCTCAATGTTAAGTCTATGGGATTTTTTGGAAATTTGTTCGCCCCTGGGTCGAACACCGTACCCCCGATCTCTGATAAAAGTGATAGGACACTTCTCTTCAATAGGCCGCACGATTTGATGCCTCATTCATGGGTCTGTGACAAAAACTGTGGACGTAGGAGTGCGCCAAACTTTTTCCTGGAATAGTATAATGCTATACTAGAAATTTTAAATAACATTGGGGTCAATGGGGGAAAATTTGGGCAGCTCCTGCCCCCCAGGGGTGCAACTTTTACCCCATTGTGAGGTATGTTCTTACAGAGCCTGTCAGCCTCTTCAAATGTGGTAAATCACAGGCTTCTGTGAAATTCTCGCTCGGAGCTATGAGTCGTCAAAGTTTGTCGCAATGTTAAGTCTATGGGATTTTTGGGAAATTTGTTCGCCCTTCGGGCGAACATCGTACCCCCGATCGCTTAGAAAAGTCATAGCACACCATTCCCGAATAATCCGCACGTTTTGAGACCTCATTCATGGGTGTGTGACAAAAACTGCGGGAGGAGTAGCGTGCCAAACTTTTGGGCCGACTCAAAAAACACAATAGTAATAGTGTTGCCTTGCTTTCAGCAAGCACCACTAATTACAGAAAACACACTGAAGAAAACATGATCAAAGTGGAGGATTAATATTTGGTCCTAGATTTTACTGGTAGTCACTGTATGAAGAATTCTTGTGTATAATATGTCAGTTTACTTTATTTTGTCATCCTCACTTAAGATAAATGATATGATGTCCTGCACCCACTAGTAAAAAATGTAAAAAATGATATCATTATATCTGGTGTCTTAATAATTTTTGGTTTGAATCAATGAATGTAGATGATTAATTAGGTTAAGTCTCATGATTATAACAAAAACATGTCAACTGGGACGGTAGTTAATAGTGGAAAAGATCATTATACAACATTCACAACTCACAAGCCATTTTCCTTCTGTAATGTGTAAGTGAAACTGGATCTAATTTCACGTTGACTTGATGTTTTTTTCTGGCTGATCAGTCACCAAATGCACTGTATAGACAAACCTGACCCCTGATCAGTGCTGTATGTCGTTTAGTACTGGTATGTGATGTATGGCGTAGTTGTGTCTTCAACACCTCCCTGCGGTAACAGCTAATCTCACAACCGAAGTCTCCAGTAATCCTTGGCAGATTACAGATGATGTAACTACACTGAGAGAAAGCACTGATAAACAGAGATTACGGCTAGATTTTCACCCGAAAACACAAGGTCTGTCATTATTGACTCAAATCCAAACTTGTATGACCTTCATATTCTAGACTATTTAACACAAAAGGAAAAGGTTCTTTCTGCTCTTTACAATACAATGAATGTTAATGGTATACTGAGGCTGTCAAACACCGATAAGAACATAAAACGTCGTCCATTCATTCCTACTCATTATAACAGGTTTGATATTCCTCTGAACCATCTTTAATGCCTCCAAGTGCATTAGAAGCTCACATCTGCACTGTCAGAGATTAGTCAGCCACATGAGAAATTATGAAGATTGTTAAGCACTTCCTAAAAATCAACTATTTGATTTGACTAGTTCACAAATGTATATACTGTGGTTTTACTTTTAAGATAAGACACTACAATGTTTTTTCATGCACTTGTAAATTTTTGAGATTTTGGGCTATTTTGCTTCCATCCAATATACACCTTTAAGTGTTTCATTATTTTATTACATATTGTCCGCTTGCGTTTTGTATCATTTAACAGGTTTATATGACATTTTATTCCTAAAACAAGGTGAAAAACTCTGTATAAACTCTAGTCAACCAAATGAAATGAATTGTGAACAAGACTTTATCCAATACTCAGATTTCCATTCTGGAAATGTATGCAAATTAGTGATGTATGCATTACATTTAATGTATCTATATCTTAGCCAATGAGAATCATTCAACGTGTAAGCAATGATGTAGCTTAGACCTTGGAAACAGTATAACTGCTGTGATCTTTGTAACTGTAAGGGGGCGGCCTACGAACTCCTGAGTGAGTCTTGAAGCTGACTTCTGCTGATGAAATGGCAAACTATGTTCAGTAAAACTTTCTTTAATTTTTATAATTCCGACTCCGGGTCTTCATTCTTCATATCTGGTTCTGGGTCCTTTAACTGTTATCCCCTAACAGTTTGGTACATTTAATTAGATAATGTATGCATATTTAAACATAAAATGTCAGAAACCTTGTAAGATAAAACAATTGTTTTAAAGTAGCGTGAATAATTAACTGGAGAAGTATGGTGCTATCGATTACACCCTGCCTGTGGTGTCTTGCATTTGTACAAATAGATGTCATACACTTACAAATGCACTGTGTTTTTACCACGGTACAGAGATGAAATCACATGGTAATGTCAAGGTCCTTTGACATAACGTTATATACCACAGAAATGATATAACAGTTCCGTAGTATTCATTGAAGTAACGTTAGCTTTGTGTAGCATGCATATATCGTGGCACGTAAATATCAGTAACATGGTATTACTATTAGGTGTTACTTTTATACTGTTATTATTATGATGATACTGGCAGGGCATTACAGAAGTGACGTCACGTAGCGTTATCCGACGGTGTCGCAGCTACAAAAACGACCGTTTACAAGTCAATGAAATGTATATAACGTTATCTGTTTGAAACCGATAACGGATAGTTTGTATTCGTTTCAGACTATTAATTGTGTTTATTTATTAAATAGCTGTCAAAACCATCATCAGCCCCACACAGTCTAACGGTCAGTCAGTCACCGGTCAAACAAGCTAGCGCGTTATCAAAACACGGCTGTTTTTCTTTCATATTGTCCTCTATACGTGTGTCGCTTATATCTTACCGTCTTATGATCACGGGAAATGTTTCTAGATCTCAGTTTTAACGGGATCTGAGGTCATCTTCCCGTCGTTAAAATAAACTTTGCTCCATCTCAACCGGTTGAACAAACGTCCGCCACCAGCACTGGCTCCATGTCAGATTGACGACGTCACTGCGCAACCCCGTCACGTGACGCGCGCGTACTTTTGGATAATGTGCCACTATTACCAATAAAGACTGAAGCACTAAGGGATTTATTAATATGATCTAATGGCTGTACTTTCACGAGATGGCGCTGTTTGCCAGGACAAGTCCAAATGGTGGCCCTTTATATATGTTGAGATTTAAATTATTGAAGGCATTTTATTTATAGTATGTTCATATTTGTTTTTAAAATATAATGATAGATATAAATGGGTTTGAGTCAAAAGTGAGTCAAAGCAGTGATGTTTATGGAACTACTGCTGGACCAATCAGCATCCGAGGAGGTGGAGAAACAGAGCGCGAAGAACTTCCTCTGAATCGGTTCGTTCGAACGGTTCGTTGCAATTTAAATTGTTCATCGATTCTTTTCTTCTTGTGTTGTCTACCAGTCATTTTGCAACTGAAATGTTCTTAATGAACGTTTTTATCAAGCTTGTATATGAACAAAACCATACAAACCTTCAGATGAAAAAATGAATACGAATATGAATCTGGATGATGATGCATCAGCTGAAATAAATAGAAACATTTGCTAATTTAGTTTTTATAGTAGCCTACAAAATGAAAAATATTAAAAGAGGGGTAAGATGACCCCTACTGGATAAGCTTTTACATAATGTATTACTTTTGATAACATTCTTATAAATGCTAAGCGTCAATAATGTAAAATAATAAAGAAACTGTTGTATTTAACATTTTATTTTGACACTTTAGTTGATAATAATTTAATAACCAATGAAAGACGAAGCAGAATCGCAGGTAAAAGAGATTCATCTGAAAGGTAAAATTATACAGACATGAATATTTACTTATTGAATTGTCCATATTTTAATTGAAGATATGACATAATAGCAAGAATACAAATTGAATGATTTCACTTGACTAACTTATAGGTTTTAATGAAAGCGAAGATGTCTGAAATGTGCATCTTATTCATAGAAATACTGAATAACAACCACATTAATTACGATAAATATTACGTTTCAAATTAATAAAAACTTGCCTTCTGTGCAAAATCTGGGTGTCAGATCTTACCCCAAAGGTCTAATTTTATAAAATTAGAAATAAAAACTATAACTTTTAGTTGTAGGCCTACCCCACAAATCCCAAAACATAGATGAATCAGCAAATCCCCCATCAGCAAATAGACAGAATAGATGTGAAATCCTTCCAGTCCGCTTTATTTAATTTACATAACATTACAAAAAAAAAAAAAAAATGGCCAATTTTCCCTTACAGACCAATTCACAAGAATCAATCCGAATCAATTCGTTCAAATCATTCAAACGAACAGATTCGATCAAGAGAACGATTCTTTGGCGTTCACAAGTATTCCATCCTCAGCATCAGCAGCAGCATTCGTCCAGAAGATTACTCACACACCAGTTCCGATCTCATCTACTCGGAGATCTGCATATCTATCGGAGTCATTAAGTGCATATTTTCTTTCTAAATTTTTGATCAGCTCGTTTAAAGATGTTGGCGTGCACCGAAATGATCACGATGTGTCTCCAGTCTGCGAAGCGCGAGCATCTCCGCTCCAAACTGCAGCAGCATCAGATGCAGGATTCCGTCCACGGACTGTCCATCTTTCACGATGTAAGTACAATAATTCGGTCAATGAGCCCACCGATAGGTCACCATGCAAACATTCACCTTGAACCTCAGAACACAAGTCACTGTGTCACTTCTAAGACAGAGAGGGAAAGAGAGAAGGTTATGCACATGTGAAAATGTATAGTCTTCAAATAGGTTATTCTATAAAGCGATTGGTAGGCAGTTTGGGGAGTCAATAATGCAGTGGATGCATAATGTGCTTATTGTGAAGCACAATCATAAAAAAAAAAAAAAAAAATCCACTTGCATTGTGATGCCTTATTTTCACTCTTGTACATTAGATGTGTTACTGTATATAGCTCATTTGCATATTTAAATAAGATAGCATGTGACAACGAATGAACATAACATGTCATCTGTTTTCATTTATTGGAATTTATTCTAAATAGAATGCCTTTTTGTGACTCCCTGTAATTGTCATTTTATGCTTTATGATTTTGTTGATTTTGTGCATTTATGCTTTACAATTAAACAATTGCAGCAGGCGCTGGTGAATCATATTTGAGGGAATTGATTCTCATGATTTCTTTTTTTCCAAAATGCAACGTGATATATTCTCTTAATGGTTAGATAGATTTTGTTTGCATGTTTGCTTTTTGTGCTCATATACATTTTAAGCACAAACCTGGATTTTGATCACAATTTGTAATTTGTAAGATTTTTTTTTTTTTAGTTTAGAAATCTGATTGTTGTTCAAATATAATCAAGGGTTATTATATTACAAGGGTAGTTTGCATTGCATTCTTATAAATAATGCTCCTATATTTAATCTGTCTTTAATGTTTATTGTTTTGTTGATGTTTAATGTAGGTGACGGTATATTCAGGAACACACGTTCATTTGGGGCTGTTAGTGACAGATAGATAGTTGTAGATGTTCTCTCAGCAGGGTTAAGTTGTCATAGAGGGGGTCTGACAACAGAGGTGAAGTGTGTGTTTGTGTGTGTGTGCTCGTCTTTAATATATAAGCAAGCTGTCAAAAAAAAAAAAGCAAGCTGATATTCAGTGCAACCTGTGTCTTTATTTAAAATACATACAAATGTCATTTACATCTATGAGTTTGTCAAGCACTTTTTATGAAGAGTGCGCATGTGCGAAGGTGCTCTACTATTAAAGAACGAGTCTATGATTGAATCTGGAAATAAAGCGAAATAACTGAGAAAAATTAGAAATAGTCCTCAGATGCAGACTGATCTCATGAAGTAGCGTGTGTATGACACGCCAATTCGTATTTCCATTTTTGGCGTGCTATCAACACGCATAATCGCTTTTCAGCGTGTTTATGAACGCCGTTGACTTAACGTTATTACTGTATATATAAATATCGCTCCCTAGATGTAGATCTACATTTTGCTTCGTTTTGCGCGGACATTTGACGGCGTTTACAGACACGTGGAATCACTGGGACGTTAATGGCGTAGACATACACGCGGATAGCTCAAAATGCGTAGAGATAACACGCCACTTGACTCGAAAGTGGCGTGTATGTTTACGCAAAAGTCGTGATGTCATGTTGTCAGATGCCATGTCTGTAACTTATATCAAAACTTCTAGCATTACGGTTTCATTAAAATAAGTAATTACTCCACCACTTTTGTGACGTCATAAACCAACATGGTTGAATATACAATCACAATGGTTTCGGGAAAAAGTCGTGACTAGCTAGTTGATTTCTTCAACGATACATCGTACTGTGGTGAAGCATCGTGGGATGTGTGACGGAAGTGAGACTGGAAATGCTGACGGCTTGAAATAATATAGATTAATTATAATAATATAGACTGATAATGATTGATTTGAAAAAGAAGCATCACCACTGGGATGATATAGGAGGTGCTTTCAAGGTCAAATTGATCTTCCAATGCAAACCGCAATATAAAATGCCCACTTTTCATGATCCAATCAATTCCAGATGGATTAAATCAAGTCCTCTCCCATAACGTCACATTATGGGTTGCTTTACATGCAGCTCCAACTTTTCAAGCACTCTTGTTGTCTTAAATTAAGAGCTCGGTGTGTGCCTTTGGGAGAAAATATTGTGTTTGTGTCTTACGCTTTCATCCTTTAGCGGGATCTTGTGTGTCTTCGATCATCACAGAAATAACGGAGCCGTTTTCTGACAGTTCTGATGGGCGTCATGATTAATGTTGAAGTGTTTAATCTCTTCTCAGCATGCGATTCACTCAAATTTCCATTCTGTTTCGACGTTTAATTGAAGAGACGATTGCTATTGTCTTTTGCCTTGCGTTTCAGACCAAGTTGAAAAATCTATCTTCATGATGTAGAATTATGCATGATATTAAATAGTTACCAAACATCAAAATGGAGTTTTATACTTTATAAACAGATTTTGGTGCTTGTCTATGCAAAAATGATTATAGAGTGTAGATTACTGGGCAAAGTACATTTTAAGTGAAAATTATTTCCCCTAGTGATCACTGACCCATATTGAAATAAATGAGGTACTAATGAAAACATTGAATCAGATTAAGAGTGTCTTTTGCCATTAACGAGACAAGTGTGACTCGTGTTAAAATATCTCTTGACGCACCACGACGGACAGAGGACGTGTTTGTGGGAGGTTTGCATTCGCTTCCCGAGGCGATCATTTCTAATCATCTTTCCCGAATCTGTCTCTTCGAAATTTCTAAAGCCGACTGACAGGAGAAGAGCGAACAGCTCCTTATAATTCCCTCGGCCCGCGTTTGAAGCTCTTGTGCGCTGATACTGAACCGTGGGTTCTGAAGGAAAGTGAGATTTGGATTAATTAAGATGCTATCAGGCCTTTATGAAGCGTGACTCGACTGATATTGTGCTTTGTGAGTCGTTTGTTCTCGAGTCGGTAGGACTCGTGTCTCCCCACTGACTCAACACCTGCCAGAGAGCCATTGGAAACGATCTCTCGGCATGAAGCTCAGATGACCTTTAAAGGACATTGTTAATGATGCATTATCCTGCACTTATCTTTTGGCAAGGCACTATTGCACATCTGGCTTTTACAAACATTATTATGTAGTATAAAGCTGAAGAATCAACAGACATGTTCTTCATAAAGCAAGTATATTTCACCTTTTAATCTCCATCTGGGTGTCGTTTTGCTTAGATGAATCTTCTCTGTAGAGATTAGTCAGCATGCGTGGCTCTCAGCCAAATGAAAATCCTACTGTTGGTTTTAGTTATTCCGTTTGTCTGAGGGACATTTTAATTGTGCAAGCCTGTTAGCTGTGTTTTAAAGTTGTTTGTATTTTACAGTAATAAGATTGTGAAGATGCACATTTTTTCCAGAAATCTTAAAGGATAGTTTATCCAATAATGAAAATAAAATTGGGATCTTCATTCAGCTTCAGTGACT